TTTGCCTCACATTAATGACTTGTTTGACCAACTCTTAAAGGCTAAGTATTTTACGTGACTTGATTTGCAGTCTAGGTATCATTAGATACGGGTGGCAAATCAGGATGTGGAGAAGACAGCCTTTAAGACTCGGTACAAATCTTATGAGTTCCTTGTCATGCCGTTTGGGTTATGTAATGCTCTGGCAATGTTTAGCACTATGATGGATAGAATATTCGGAGATTATTTGGATGCATTTGTTGTCCTATATCCACAATGTTCTAGTCTTCAGTGAAACGTTGGAGGATCATTTGAAACACTTGGAGCTGGTGTTTCAGAAGTTGCGCGAACACAAACTATATGCTAAGGAAAGTAAATGTGCTTTTGGACAATTGTGCATAAACTTTCTTGTATATATAGTTGGTGGTGGCGCAATTGAAGTCGATCCAAAAAAGGTGGAAGCAGTGAAGTCCTGGGAAGTCCCAACCACTGTATCAGATGTTCATTCCTTTCTTAGTTTGGTGGGATACTATTGTAAGTTTGTTCGCAATTTTGCAAGAACTGCTCTTTCGTTGACTGAGTTGACGAAAAATAGTATATCGTTTCATTGGACACCAGCTTGTCAACATGTTTTTGTATGGTTGAAGGAGATCTTGACTATGGTTCCTGTTCTCAAGATCCCATATCTTGATTGTTAGATATGATATTGAAATCATATATAAACCTGGTAAAGACAATATTGTTCCGGATGCATTGAGTCGTCAAGCTCAATTCTGGGCAATATCAGTAGTTAGTTCAGATTGGTTGGAGGACATTCGGGCTTCGTATGGAAGTGATCCATTGGCAAAAGCAATCTTGCATTATGCGGAGTTGTTGAAGCAAAACCTTGGTAGCAAAGCGGCGAAAGTTGCTAGTCGAACCAATGTAAAGCTTCATTTTTCAGTTCGGGATGGGCTTATATTCTATAAGCAAGAAAGATTGTATCTTCCCTCTAAGGATTTGTAGCAGTTATTTCTGCAGGAACATCATGATGTTTTGGCAGCGGGGCATGGTGGGAAGCAAAAGACTCTAGCTTCATTGAAAAAGGGATTTTTTTGGTCTGGTATGGAAGGTGATGTAGCGGACTATGTCCATTCCTGCCCTATATGCCAGCAATGTAAGCACAAAACTGATAAGTAGGCTGGAAAGTTGCAGTGCATTCTAGCACTGGCATGGCCATTTCAAAGTGTGACACTTGATTTCGTCACTTGCTTGCCAAAGTCTAAGGGTTATAATACTTTGATGGTGGTTGTGGATCGGTTGTCAAAGATTGCACACTTCATTCTAACTGTGGGAACAGTAAATGCGAAACAAGCAGCAAAGCTCTTTTTCCATGAAGTAATGCGGGTTCGTGGTCTTCCCGAAGAGATGATCTCGGATAGAAATTTGAGGTTTACGAGGAAGTTTTGGGGCACACTATTCCAGCTGTTTAGTACCAAGTTGAAGTTTAGTACGTCTTATCATCCTCAAGCTGATGGGCAAATTGAACACATGAATGCTCAAGTTGAGGATTATCTGTGGTACTATGTCGCGGCGGACCAATATGACTGGGTTAAGCATTTAAACATAGCAGAAATTGGTTATAACAACACATTTCACAGCACTATTGGCTGTCCTCCATAGGAGATGCTACAAGTAAATGCTCATGGAGTCCCTCAACAGATTGTTGTACCAAAACCAATGTCCGAATTGTTGGTCCTGACCATTGAGACTTATGCAGAGCAGCTATGCCAAGGTTGGTCTAGAGCTACTGAGGCGATGGGCAAATCTTAGGATAAGTATCAACATGATAAGGATCAACATTATCAGGATGTATCCTATCAAGTGGGAGATTAGGTGTGACTATCCTCCCGGAATCTGAGTGTTAAGAGATTTTTATCTCGAAAACTACTACCAAGATATGTTGGACATTATCGGGTGTTGAGATGAGTTGGTGATGTATCCTATAAGTTGGATCTTCCGGATAAGTTCTCTCATGTATATGATATGTTTCATGTCAGTTTACTAGCACTATATCATGCTGCTGAGGAACGACAATTACACATCTTCTCCATCTAACAATTTACTTCAAGTGCTAATGGATTAGCTAACAAGCTATAACAAATGAATGCTACAACCCTTTTTCAACACTTCAATGGGCAAACTCAAGGAACTAAGGAACCAACTTAAGCTTAGCATATTATAAATCACTATTGAGAATCCAATCAAAGCTACTATAATATTACTACTTGCAAGTAGACTAACTTCACTATCAACCACTTTGGGGTTGATCATCATCTAACCAAGCAACTTCATAAACACATTACTCATTATCACATGGATATGATATAAGTATCACAATGACTTGATCATAAATTGAGTAACACCCATGTCATTACTTCAAAAGTTTATGTGTATCAAATGCCAACCTGATTCGACAAAATACAACATAAATGCCACACTCCACCAATAAAGATTTATAACACCCAACACCACTAACTTTTGTTCACAACACAAACAAGCTCATGTCACTCCAAACTCAAAATTAATCCAATACCGAGCTACTCAAGGAGCAATAGCAAGGTTCCTCAGAAAGAATTGAGCATTGTAACTTAAGTCTTCCAATACCAAGCCTAGACAAAATGGTTTAACACTTCATTGCTATCCATCCCATGACTCACCACTTGTAAGACCACCATAACCAACATGCATCAAAGTAGGGACTCTTGATTACATAATGTGAACATAGGCAATGAGTCACACCTCGTTGCAAATCATCACTCCAAGAGAAAATGATTTATGTGTTTAATCCTTTATCCCCTATAACTCTCTTTTTGATCTTAACTTTGACTTAACCTCAAATTTGCATTTGCACTGCCTTCAATCCAATCCAAAAAAAGTTTATGATAGAGCACAGCAATGACTACTTGAACCAATAGACTAATCCCTACAATCTTGGTTGATCCATTTATAATCATGCCTAGGAAAGATCTACTAATGCCATGCTAAACAGCTACGGACCAGCCTATTTGCCACTCATAGCAAACCTAAGGAAGGCTTACTTTCACCCATGGTATATGGAACAACTCATGGAACTACTACAACAACTCATAGAACCAACAATAGGCTAATATTAATCTTACCAACTCAAAATGTAACTTTAAGTTGCTAATATGCCTCTCTCATGAGCCGAAGTGTAAACTCATGCAAACACAACAACTTAATCCCTATTATGAGCCCAAGAGTAAGCTCACATTATTACGATACAAAAAGGTAACCAAATCCATAATCAATAAATGATTGCGAAGCCTTTGTGCCCAAACATGTACCCACTCGGATCATCATTTTCATCTCTGCATATGCAACAAGACTAGTTGCCCAATCTCATTGGATAGTACTCATTAAAACTCATCCTTTGATACTAAATGTAACATACATAGTTTTTACCTTTTATCCTATGGTGATTTACCATAGGATAACCATGAAGCAAAACCCAAACCTTCTATATGCACATGTCATATACCACATGTCCAAAGGACAATGATGTGGAACTTACATTTCAGAGTCTTGGGCTACTGAATGAAAGAACAGTGCCAAACTCCCAAGTATGGAGTCAAGGAGCAATGCCACTAGAGCACAAAACAACTCCCAAGCATACAACCCAAGGAACGAAGGGACAAAAGCATAGAGCAACTTAAATCAATCCTAGAGCAATCAGCATCTCAATGCTCAGACCAACACACAAAACGAAGCCAAACAAAGTCTAATATTATTTTGGCATACTAATGGCCTAACATGAGGATATAAATACTCCACCAGCTAACATAGAATAGAACTTGGGCTTAAACCCAAGTTGGATGCAAAACAAAGACAGACATGTAAACAAAAGCTATACTATGCCTCAGGTTAGTCAGCCATACCCAACCTACCTACTATCCCTATTATACATTTGGAACCCCCTATAGCGATGGAAAACGATGCTGAAGTTGCAAGGCTTGCTAATTCCTCTCGGGCCAACATGAAAGAGATTCTTCCACTTGAATCGCAACTTATCTCGATTGACAGCCGAGATGGTTTTCATTGAAACTCAGAAGAGAGAGGCTGGGGATTTGATCGAAGCAATAAGGCATGGCCTTGAAAGCTGTGTGGTAATCGTTGTTTTAGTGATTTCATTCCAGCTGAATCTCTATCCAACATTTGTGCAGGCGAAGCAAAGAGATACTCAAAGCCTTCTTTTCAGTAAAGAGTTTTGCCTTCGTGACTTGAGGAGTCAGGCTGAGCAGGCTGCAAGAGGAGCCATGCCAAACATTGGAGAGCTCGAAGGCGATATAATCGTAAGCTACAAGAGAATTCATCCGTCCAAGATATCTAACTTCGCAAAGTTTCCAGGCTACGGAAGCTGAAGCGCAGAAACTGGAACGGGAGATTGAAGAACTCCGAGCCAAACATGCCGATGCCCAAGCCAGGAAAGAGCTTTCCTTATCTCGGGCTTGATTCTTTTGAAGGTAGCTTACAAATTCTTTTCCATCTCGTGTGTGAAAAAATGTTTTTTTTTCTTCTCAGATTCAGCTAGACATGATGCAGAAGCTCTCGAAAATTCTGTGTCTGAGCTCCGAGCTTTGCAGGACAAAGCAGTAGAAGTTTCTCAAGTAAGAACTGAAAAGATTAATACTTTGTAACTTGTTGTTTTTTTTCCGTCAAATTTAATCCATACCTGCGAACATCGTACAAACTTCTCGTGCATCTCCACGGCATGTTGCTCCAAACACCGCTTTCTAATTCGTGCTTCGTTCAGAAAAGTCTCCTTATTCTCAATACCTCCTTTCAGCTCCTTTTCCTCAACGGAAATCTGTAAGAAAGCAAACTAGAAATGAAAGCAGTGACACAGTGATGATGTGGGTTCGCAATCTTTCTGCTCGTGAAATATTCCATAACCACTATGACTATGTCTCGAATGAGTGTCATCGAGACTACAGTCAAGATAGTTCGTTTCCAGGTTGGAGATGACTCTGACGAGCTTCTTGCGCAGCTCCAGGAGAGCTAGAATGATCTCGAAGGGAGTGGGGTTGTCTACTCTCTCGAAGGCAAAGAAAGTCTTGGCTCTTCGCGATTGCTTCCAAGATGAAGTCTTTGAGGCTGTCATAGCTAGCGTGAGGATCACTGCTAATTCTTTCATCCATGCGGAGGGATTGCTCAGGTCTGAGCTGACACGGAGGCCAATTCAAGCTCAGTCGCAGCGAGCACCAAGGTGCCGGTCAATGCTTGTCTAGCTACAAGGCAAGCCAAAGACCAGCACTTTGAACAGCACGCGTTTTGGCTCGAGGTAGAGGGCAGTGATCAGGAGCTCGTGGTAGAGGGCGAGGCCGTGGATTTGCACTCATGCCATTCCCTTTCAACAATCAAGCAGGTACATCCACTCAACTGGCTACAGGAAAGAAAGGACCGAAAGGAGGGACACCATAGCAAGTGGTTTAAGCGAATGGGTCAGGGCAAGTAGCAGCAAATGCCAATGTCCAGTGGTGGGTAGCGGCGCGAATCTCCTCATGAGAACATGCACAGCAAAATGGGGGAGCCTGGTCGAGGTCGCGACCACAAACGTTTTCCTCCTGGACGATCTTGCTAATTACGTATGCCGTCTCTATCGACTGGAGGTTGATGCCCGTAGCTTTTGCATTGGTCACAGTACATGAGAAAGAATTTGTTTGAAAGAATGCAATGGCTCAAGTACTCGAACATGTTCCACAGAAAGTTCCTAGAGAAGAGAGGAGCCGCAAAGACAAGTTTAACAAAGAGAAAACTTCTCAGTCAAGCAGGACTAATTAAATCGTTTAAAACCCAATTTGTAAGCTTTAGGGTTTTGTGTGTTAGGATGCCCACCAGAATCCACGTTCAGTTGGGATTCTGCTGCACTAGACGGCTGCAAGAAATCACCTTCCATTAGATCGCCGCTGTGGAGCTCGACGCAATGCCGCCCGACGACCCAGCGGCGGCTGGGGCATGGGTTGCTTTTGATCCTGAGGCGACAATCGGTGCCAAGCCGATGATCGATGCCGAGGCAGTGATTGCTGATGTGAAGTAAGTAATGCATGGCAATATCTCCTAGAATTCCAATTCCAATTTCTCTTCGTATGCGCAGTACCAATGTCGACTGGACGAGACCTTGGGTGCGGAGTGACGGTAGAGCTCCGTTTGAAGAACGAGAGCTGTTTATCTATCCAAGGCAAGTCTTGTGTGTAAAATTTTGGTTCTTTCCTCCTCAATGGTCTAGAATGTGCGCAGGGCAAGGGGCACTCTCTTTGCCAGGAAAGGAAGCAGTCGAGTGTGGGCGAGCGTGAGCACTCACACGCAGCTCACCGTTCGAGTTGAGGTCGAGTCTGACTGTCGTCTTCCAAAATTTCGACCGGCATATCAACTTGTCAACGACGTGAAAAGCATCATCGAGTTATATTTTTCAAGGCAAGATGTTTTCTCAAAGGGGCTGCAAATTCACATCCAGATCCATGATTATGAAGGGTATGTGTCTCTTTGGATGCATAATCTTCATCCTCGTGCCTCTGTGGTTTTTGGTTTTTTTTTTTTTTGGAATTTCAGGAGTGTCATTGATGTTTCTTTACTTGCTGCTATAGCTGCTCTTTTATCCTTGGGAGATCAACGTCTTACTGAGACAGTGAGTCCACAACAGTTTTCTAGAGTTGATTTAGATTGAGCATTGATTTTCAGATCATGCATGATGTCCCAGTTGCCATAACTTTCGGATTTTTTACCTACGGAGGGCCAGTTGTAAGCTGTTTCATTTTTCTTTTCTTTTGTTCTACTTGATTGTGATGTATTTCTATGTTCTACTTACAGGTAGTAGATCCAAGTAGACGCGAAGAAGCTCTCATAACAGGGTCTTTGACACTGATTGTGACACAAGCCGGAAAACTCCTTTTCCGGAAGAAAGAAGGGGTGGTGAAGTGGAGCGAACTACTTTGGCCTGTTTTACAGTCCAGGGTTGCAGACGTTTCACTTCTGAAAGAATGGGTATGTTTTTCAGCTTTTTGTTCTTTCTGATGATCAAAGACTATATGTTTTTGTAGGTTGAGAGGCAGGAAGGTCTCCAGAACTTCTACAAGACCAAGGAGAAGCCTTTTGCAGGGTTCATAGGCGTACAGAAAACCTGGTATGGTTCATTTCATCATTTTCAAATGAAACTGAATGGCAGTCTTGGAATCAGGAAATACACGCCCAAGAGATTGACCACACCTCATACCAAAAGGTTGGATTCACTCACTCAACACTCAAAGGTTACTCGGCTGATTGGAAATTTGTTTTTTTTCTTTCCAGCCATATCAGCCTGGGTATAGCAGCTCGACAACTTCCTCTTCCACTCCCTTATTGGGCGCGTGAGCGCAATGAGTCGGCTGGTGAGCATGTGTCCATTCGAAGGATTGATGCCCTCGCACTCCGTCGTCTCCAGCTGGAACAGCGTAAGTAAACTTTGTTTTCGTTTTGTTTCTTAACACATTGGGAACTAATTCTAGGACGAAGGGTGAGAGGTAGTTCTAAACTACTGAAAATTACAATATGCTTTTCCAATGGGAGAACTCCAGCTGGTGGACAAACGAGCCTGGGTTTTGAGTTTGCCCACCTGCAGGTGAGTCATGGTATTAGTTATGGATAGATTATTTCTGATGTTTTGATCATAGGGTGCTTTCATTGAGAGAGATTACGTGGGGGACGCGTTAGTGACATCAAGGTCACTTGTAGGGGACCTAGTCTGTTCATGGGCACCCCTTCGGCCAAAAACAGAACACCCCTGGGATTTCTTACGACGTTTTGAGACAACAATGAGAGAACACTATCCGAAAGAAAGCATTTTTCAGAGCTTAACCGACGCAAAACATTGGTTGAAAAAAGAGGAGGAGTCTATGAAGGTAAACATCGATACATTCAGGCTATTCTATTCTGTACTCCTTTCTTTTTTCTTTTTTGGTTAACAGAAGGTACTTGAGAAAAGCAAGCGGACTTCAAAGCCAGGAGATGACTTGCCTTTTGAGCTGTGCACACGGGATGTAACAGTTATTGGCTGTTACATCCCTTTTGTCATGGAGGAGCCAAAAGGATATGATCCCCCAGGAGAATGGGGAACTGAGGAGGAGGTTTGGTTTCTTTGTTTGTAACATAAAGCTAACACGTGAACTTTGCAGGAAGATAAGAGGGAGAAGGAACTACTAGCTTTGATGTTTTATCCAAAGCTAAAAGATGAAATTTTGACGACGATGCTGGAGCCTGGTTTGAAGTTGTTTGAAGTTCACTTTGGCCAGAAGATTGGGAACGGCTGGACTTGTTTCTACAAGAGGCGAGACACCCTGAACTGGGAGAAGAAGAAACACAATGTTTGCAGTGAATCATGATAAAAGCTAAACTACTTTTTATTTCTCTCTCGTTTTTATAAGAACCCTTAGTAGATATGTTAATATGATATTTATTAAAGAAGAAATCTTCTCGCTCAAAAAAAGTTAAATGGAGAGATTTCTCTGCTCTATTAGTAATGCATTCTTTCCTCTTCGTCATCTTAGTCATTATCATCCCAGAATGCTAATTGCGCACAAAGTGGCTCTCTATTTGCACCACTAACTGTGAGGGGGAGTTCCACATCAGCGAGAAGGAAAAGAAGGAAAAAGAGGCAAACATGGGATTCCAAGAGACAATATCGGGAGCAAGAAGACCATCAAACACTGGTATTACTTTGGCCAATCGGCACAATGCATTCCAGGCTAAGGGGGCTCTCTGCCCGCTCAAGATTGCCATGGCTAGCATGTGCAACCAGCAAGATTGTCCAGGAGAAGACCATGAGGTAAGTGCTGCCCAGCACTGGAGCATGGAGTTCCTGGAAATCCGTATTGAGGGCCACCAGTACCAGAACTTGGTTGTGAAAGAGATTGCCATGGTTATGCATTGGAGAGCTTCTACTATCTCGGCGGCTATGCCCCCCCCCCCCCCCCCCCTCTGAGGAACACACGCTTTGGGCTTTCACCCCAAGCCTCCCTTAATATCAAGAGTTAGTCTCTGGGACAAGCTCGAAACTTACTAAATATGGAATGTCCTTAGATTGTGAATTTGGACACAGGACGAACACCATTGTGTTCAGGCCGATCTCTACATTCTATAGATATGCCAAATAAGCAAATCTGGACACTTTCCATAAATAGCGTTTGGGACCGAAATGAGACCAACACAAAGGGCATGATAGCGAGGGTGTTTGGCAGACATGGTAAGCTATCATCCAGCGATATTGAGAGACTAATCTTAATACGCGAGGGTTCTTGTCAAGCCAGTGCAAGACAGAGCAAAAGAAAACTAAAAGCCAGGTCGAGTATGCTCAGCTAGAAACACATAGGAGTTCCTACCTTATGTCCATCTGGCTAAGTACAGGTGCTAAGCTCAGTAAACTAACACTTGAACAAGAGGGGCTAATAAAGGGAACCAGCAATACCGACCTCCTGCCATTGCAGCAGTAAGGTAAGAGTGTCCATAAGGACTAGCTGACAGGTAACTTTCAATACCCGAAGTCACATTCGCGACACTCTCCCCCCCTTGGGAAGATCGACGTCCTCGTCGATGCAAACTTGAGTCTAGAATACCGCCAAGGAAACAACTCCAGAAAAAGTTCACAGTACTCACACTATGTGAGAAATGCACCAACTTAAATAAGTTAGGGGGCAACCTCTTTGTTTAACGCGGATGCACTACCAACTCAGACACCTTCCGGCCGTCACCGACAAAGAAATGACTAACGGAGTCAGCCACCCTTGCTACTCTGGGTGTCACCCAGCTACAAAAGTGTGATATGCCCCTGCCTGCAAGGACATAGAGAGAGGAGCCAGAGGCCCCAACCCTCCTAAGCAAAGAAACCAAACCTGTCGGTAAGGTTTAGATAGACTACTGTAAACAGGCAGTTAGAGTTGTTTACACGGTCACGCCCTTTGAACGGAATAAGGAACATTGACAGAGAAGCGGGTTATGTGACCAGTCGACAGTAGCTACCCCATGACTAGAGATTTCAACATGCACATGAAGTGCCGAAGCCAATCTGCCTATACTGGCCCAAACTCAAAGATCAATAGATGGACAATATCAAAGTCATAGACAATGATATCTTAGAGTCTTAATTATCAGTGAATATATCTTAGATTAGAACACAAAAGTATTCCAAGGAAGTTATCATCCGATAAACCAGTATTATAGTACAGGAACCACCAAAATCAACATAATTGGTAAATACAAGATTCACTATCCAACAAAATTCAATAGCCAATTGATCATCAAAGAAACTCAATGATAAAACTTAACTACCGAAAATGGCAGATAGTATGCCAACCACTCACAAAACACAACTCAAAGAACACAAAGTATCATTGACTAACAAGCACAATGCTCGCGAATATATCACCCGAAGGAAATAACATCTTAATCTATGAAAACTAACTCGAGTAATAATCAAGAGAACAAAATGAATGCTGCAAAGCAAACAAACACTTGCTCATATCAACCATTGCACTAGCCAATTTGAATAGATCCCGGTCAATAATACCAAGGAACCAAAGTTGCTTAAGCAAGTGTCAGCAACATACTACTGATGTCTCAGACCCAAGAGACCAATTCAAAGCAAACCACAAAAAACATGTGGTATTGCAAAAAGCCAGAAGCTATCAAAGAGAACAACTATCATGAAAGATCAACAATTATCCTATCAATAAAGAGATGCAAAATCATTGTTTAAGAAGGAATCCACCATTCTGAAGAATAGTAAATTATTCTAGATCAACGATAATCAAGCAAAACCTTCGACAAGGATAATCAATTATCCTAGATGATAGTCAATCATCATCAATGATTGCTAGATGGAAATACTAACTTCAACATCAAAGCTAAGAGCCAAAATGCCTTCCCCAAACAACTTTTAACAAATGGAACAATGAGCACAAAACTCAAGGAACCAAAAGCTCGAAGAAGCCTATAACTAAGTCTTGCCTAACAATGATCACAAGGTTCGCATAAACTAACTTCAATGCTAAAGAGAAATCATGGTACAACCCACAATATCCCCTTCAACACATCCATAAGTTAAACTTCATAATGCCAAAGCTAATGAAGAGCATATCTGCATCAATCCAAAAGCCAAGCACAATGAAGTTATACTCAACAAGTGATCACTAAACGATCCTCCATGAATCCATTTATAGCAAGATGTAACTCATATCATAACAAGCGCAAAAAGAATCATCAAATGATCGATATATCCCAACTGAAATCCAACAAAGATTCAATCACTTAATACCAATCACTAACTCTTCTTCTCATAGAAGTAGCATTGTCCATGACTAAATCACTTTTCAAGGAAAAGCTAAAGCTCAACCTCAACTAAGCAATCTCGTTTAGAACACAACTAACTCAAACTTGCCACTCAATTCGTTTGAACATCAACATAGTTGCTAACTAGCAATGCACGAAATGCCAATAGCACAAAGCTATAGCCAAATCATCAACACTATCTTCATCGAGACTAATGAAACTCAATATCAATCTTATAGAAAGACATCTCATCTCATTCGAATCTCAACATCAACAATGTCAATGACAAAGCATCACTTCAATGCCATCAACACTATAACAAAGCTAGAAGAAAGCAAGAGTGAATCACCACTCAAAACTCCCTAGCAACTAAGCTAACCAAAGTCGAAGATACTATACTTAGTATCCAAGACCAATCCTTCAGCAAAACTCAGTTACAGATAACACATCATCAAGGAGTGAATCACCACATCCAAGACTCAATGAAATCCAACACTATAGACCAAACGTAACTAAATGATATCAACAGAGGTAGAGTCAATATGCCAACATGAAAAAACTCATGTAGGTCTAATGACACAATCCTCCGCAACACCATCCAGTAAAGCAAGCCCATCACTGCTAAATCATCATCGAGCAAAGCAAGTGTCAACAGTCCTTGACGAAGTCTATAAGGAATCACTAGTCACAAAGCAACTAATAATCACTCCTCAACTTGCTTTCACAAGACCCAAACACCAACTCTTGTTATCAAGTTATATACTTGTCCAATATGAACGTGATACCCTAGGTACGAGATAAAAGTTCATAGACAAGCACAAACTAAATGACCACTCAAATCCAACTCAACCGCAATAAACTCACCAATGCATTTAGCCAACAGCTCTGAGCATGCCTTTTGAAGAGGCTAGCTATACGATCAACACTCAGTCGAAACTAAAGTGAAGACCATAAGATGGACTCATATCGGTACACAACCTCCTCATAGACAAAGCTATAATACGGGTACCAACATCTCAACCTCAAACAACTAAGTTGGACATCACCATCCTCAACCAAGGCGCAGGGCCACCAAGACCAAGTCAAGATCAGTAAGAGCTCACTACTCTCATAGAGTCTTAAAAAAATGCAAGGTGTAACCTGCCACCGAGCATAATGTTACAAAAGAAAGGCATAAGAGTCATCCTTCTTAGAAAAGCACAACGGCCACTTTTCTACATCAACTTCAGACTCTATCTAACTTGATTGCCTTAGCCCCAAAAGTCAGCATCCCTTTTGGGCCGCATCATACAAACTACCTACTAAGATTTAAACCAACCGAAGTCAACTCCAACCTCTTCACTAGTTTGTATTGGCTTACGAAAACGGAATGGTTTTCGGTAAAGTGACCAACAAATCAGCCATTGGAGAAGTTTAAGAAAATTTGTGGAAAATTTCCCATCCTAGAGAAAGAATGACTCTCAGTCCAGGATTGCAAACTTTCAAGACTCAACCAACTTCCTCCTACCAACAACTTCACATAAGCTCACCTCAACACAGATTCTTATGACCCAATAGCATGCTTAAGCATCAAACAACTTTACCCATCTAATCGATATCCAACACCGACATCCGCAAAGTGCAAAATGAACATCTAAGGCTTGATCACGAAGACCACATCTTCGGATATCCGCATTGCACTAACACTCTTTTTCAATCACCTTCAAGATCCAATGTGAAGCCAAAACACTAACAAGAAAAATGACATAGAGAATCAAGGGCCAAGGAAAACTTCCTCATCACTCGAAATAACAATGCCACTTCCACTAACACAAGTGCTAGCAATGTCAATGCCTCAACTACACATCTTCTCCATCTAACAATCTACTCCAAGTGTTAACGGGTCAACCGACAAGCCATAGCAAGTGAATGCTATAATCCTTTTCCAACACCTAATGGGCAAACTCAAAGAAACAAGGTACCAACATAAACTTAGCATAATGGACCATCACCGAGAATCTAGTCAAAGCTACTACAATGCTACTTCGTGCAAGTAGACTAGCTTCACTATCAAGCACTTTGGGGTTGATCATCATTTAACCAAACAACTTCGTAAACATATTGCTCATTATCACATAGATATGATATAAATATCACAATGATTTGATCATCAATTGAGTAACGCAATGAGCAATGCCTATGTTACTTCAAACGTTTATGTGAGTATCAAATGCTAACTCGATTGAACAAAATGCAACATAAATGCCACACTCCACCAATAGAGGTTTACAACACCCAACACCACTAACTTTTGTTCACAACACAGACAAGCTCATGCCACTCTCTTTCCGACCAATCTCAAAACTAATCTAACACCAAGCTACTCAAGGAGCAATAGCAAGATTCCCTGGAAAAGAATTGAGCATTGCAACCTAAGTCTTCCAATAGCGAGCCTAGACAAAATGGTTTAGTGTTTCACCACTATCCACCCCATAACTCACCACTTGTAAGACCATCACTTCCAACATGCATCAAGGTAGGGACTCTTGATTGCATAATGTGAACACAAGCAATGAGTTAACACCTCATTGCAAATCATCTCTCCAAGAAGAGAAAATGATTTACGTATTTGATCCTCCGTCCCCGATGACTCTCTTTTCGGTCTCATCTTTGACCAAACCTCAAGCTTGCTTTCGCACTGCCTTCAGTTCAATCGAAGAAAAGTTTATGAGAGAGCACGGCAATGATTACTTGAACCAATAGACTATTCCCTACAGTCTTGATTGATCCACTTATAATCATGCCTAGGAAGGATCCACTAGTGCCGTGCTAAACAGCTACGGACCAGCCTATTTGCCACTCATAGCAAACCCAAGGAAAGTTACTCATGGAACCATTGATAGGCTAACATTAATCCTGCCAACTCAAAGAGTAACCTCGAGTTGCTAATGTGCCTCACTCACGAGCCCAAGCGCAAACTCGTGTAAACGGAACAACTCACATAATTTGGAACAAAACGGTAACCAAATCCATACCCAAGGAACAAATGCAAAGCCTTTGCACCCAAACGTGTACCCACTCAAATCATCGTTTTCATCTCTGCGTATGCAACGAGACTAGTTGCCCAATCTCATTGGATAGTATCGCTGAGACTCATCCTCTAATACCAAATGTAGTGCACGTGGTTTTTACCCTTTATCCTATGGTGATTTACCATAGGATAACACCACGAAGCGGACCCTAAACCCTCTTTGTGCCACGTGACAGATGCCACATGTCACATGCCACGTGTCCAAAGGAACGTGGTGTGGAACACAAGGTTCAGGGCCTTGGGCCACTGAACGAAGGAACGGTGCCAAACTCCCAAGTGTGGAGCTAAGAAGTGATAGAACCGAACCACAGAGCAATTCTCGAGCATATAGCCCAAGGAGCAAAGGGACAGGAGCCCAGAGCGACTTGGAATAGTTCTAGAGCAACCAGCATCCCAATGCCAGGACCAGCATGCAAAATGGAGCCAAATGGAGTCTGGCGCTATTTCGGCATACCGGTGGCCTAACGTGAGGACATCGGTACTCCACCAGCTAGCATGGAATGGAACTAGGGCTTAGACCCAAGCCAGACACAAAACAAGGACAGGCACACAAGCGGGAGCTAGACTATGCCTCAGGTTAGTTGGCCATGCCCGAC